AATTCATGAGAATTTGAAATATAATCATCAATTGAAAGAAGTGGAATATTTGCATTCTTCTTATTTTTCTCTCAACTTTGGAAAATTCCATTTCTCTCCTTTCAAGATTGTATAAACTCTCTTGTCAGAAAGTTAAAAATATTTTGATTTCCCTTGTATATATGATATTTTGAAATTGAAACATGATAAAAAAAAAATTTTTGATAGGTAATTAGAGAATTTTATTTTTTAAAAGAGAGTACACAGGGAAGTATATAATTACTTTAAGCATGAAAGGAACAACATGAAATTAGGCAACCCTACAATAGGATTTTTAGCCACTGCATTAAACTAAGTATACAAAGTCAAGTAAAATAATTCTCTTATCTGCTCTATTGTCTTTGTTTGGTCTTTGAAACATCGATCGTTTCGTTCTCTTCATATGCATTATACAATGCATCCCGGAATAAGATTCCAAAGAAGTTTGCTATCCTTATCGCGAAGTTTTCTCCTCCACGCCCGCACCACGTCTTCTATACACCTAGGTAGTACCCAATCCATAGATTGAGAAGCCAGGATAATGTTCCAAAGCCAACGTACACCATCACAATGAATGAATAAATGATCAATTGTCTCTCCATCCTTCTTGCACATATAATACCACTCGGTTACATAAAATCCTTTGCGTCAAAGATTATCCACCGTCGACACCTGCCCCCTCATAACTGTCCACAATAGAAATGCTACCCGTGGAGGCAATTTGCTTTGCCAAACCATCTTCCAAGGTAATGAACTCTCCACAAATCCCGAAAGGGATTGAAAGTATGAGCGGATTGAAAAAATACCATCTCGAGCTAACCTCCACCTGCTATAATTACCCTCTCCTACCCGAATTTGTATCTCATGCAGGGCAGTCAAAAACAACGAATAATCTTCCAATTCCCAATCCTATAAACCCCTCCCAAAAGTAATATTCCAACTAAAGCCCCCATTTTGAATGTCTAATACATCCACCATAGCAACAGGCTCTAACGCAATGCGGTATAATGAAGGAAATCCCTCCTTTAACGGTTGATCGCCACACCAACTATCATCCCAAAATCTAATATCAGTGCCATTGCCCCACCACAAAATTAAGTGTCGCTAAAATCACTCCATCGTCGTCGGATATACCTCCACAAGCTCACCCCATAGGAGCCACGACCTTCAACCGTACACCAACCCCCCTCCATCACACTATACTTTGCCCCAATGATCTCTCTCCAAAAGCTCTCCAAATGATTTCTTGACCTTTGTTTACACTGACATTGATAGTCATCTCCTTTTGTTGCCTCCGCTGGTCAACACGCATCGAGGCATGTAAGTTTGCTATTATGTCTGCATAAGTCAATCTTTGTCGATTACGTTCATTCATAGGTCGACGTTTGGCTTTATCCCCAGCAACAAAAGAATCAACAACAGTTTGAAGCTCCCACGAGATTGATGCCCATCCTTCTCCATTCGCACCTTCCGGCACCATCACAACTCCCTTTCGACGCCTATCCTCATACTGCGCTATCATCAAGTACCTACCACGGCGGTTCGCACAACGCTGTGCCAAGAAGGCCCTTGATGACTTATTGAACCAGAAACGAAATCCCCATGCTTACTAGTCATCCTTAACTTGTCCACCATATTCACCATCCAAAGTGCACCGAACCTTCCCATGCTAACTGCATTCGATATCTTCGAGCCCCATTCGGTCATTCTAACAACGCCAAGATTGGTAACAGAAATTGCAAACTCCTTCGTCTCAACTCGAAAACGGTGATTGAAGGCCACATCGAATTCATCCACTAACTTCCTTCCCTGATTGTGTGTGAATCACATATTAGACGGCAAAACAGGCATCGTTACTGGACTGGGGACATTCTGCCCGTCATTCTGGTTTTTCGGCGCCGGCGCGGGTGGCCGAATTTTGCTGAATCTGGATCGGGCAACCCTGTTTTCCGGCCTCTACTCCGATCTCGGCATCGGTGTCTCTAGCTAGGGCGGCGGTGATAGGGTTTCCACCTAGGGCCGCTGCCTAATTATGTGGCTTATTTAGTGGCGTAAGGCCGGTGAATGGTTGGCCGATCGACGTGATGTCTCTGACGATTGTAGCGATCGGTGGTGATGGGGTGTTCGGAGGCTGGCTAAGGGTGTGGTGTTTGGATGTTAGGGAGGAGACATCCATTTCTGTAGGCGCAAAGATAGTTTGCTCGCATGTTTTTTCACCGTTGTACCCTAACACACAACTGGTTCAGGGTATGTTGCTGATATGCTCGTTAAGTAGCTTAGGGGTGCTTTTGCTATCTATGAAAAAATAACTTGTCATCTAGTAAAAATTTGTTATAGAACAAGATTTTTAACGTCTTTTTGCAAAACTTCTTTAGATTTTTTGCAATCAGTTTTTAAAATGAATTCTTTATTAATTAAATCATCTTGAAATTCTGAAATACACAGTACAATAGATAAAATTTCCTTTTTAATAGTTGAATGGTTATTTTGAGGGCTGGTCCATATACCTCTATGAAACCTAATTAACTGTTCTTGACTTGACTCTTTTTCTGTTCAATAGGATTGTTGAGAGTCTCCTCGTAACATAATACGAGACAAGAACATATCTATATACCATCGGAAATCTTGAAGTTTTGGACATCTTAAATTTATTAAAAGTATTATTTTGAATTTGTAATAAATTTGTAGGGGTTCCAATAAAATGTTTAATGATAGTACAAGCTAAAACATTGTAACTATCACTAATTTCTTAGCCATCTTGAGTTCTAATAATATTTCCAGTATCCTCTCTTTTGACAGCATTAAGTATTGAATATCTTTTAGCTTGAGATAGATAATTACTCCACCATTTATCAAGTTGTCCAGTAAAACCAATAATGATATTATTGATGGCATTACTAACCCTGATTCCTTTGCCTATGTATGTTTTGTAACACATAGTCATGGCTTCAATGATATTGATAATTTGATATTTAGTGAGACTATCGAGATTCCACTCGAAACTGGTTGCACTATCATAAATCTTTTGAGGTTTTGCTTTTTCTTTAAAAAGCAAATCCGGATATGTAGATCTTGGATAATATGTTGGAAGATTTTTTAATTTATTGATAGAATTAAAGCTTTCATCTATGAATTGCTTTTCAATTTCATCAATTGTATTGATATTGTTTAGAACACATAAATTTTTCAATTGAAAAGAGAGTTATCTAAGAACATTTGATTCTGTTTTTAATTTTTGAAGTTTCTGCTTTTTCAAATTGAGGGAATAAATCATTTGGATGAAAGATAGTGGCCTTAGAATTGAAATTTTTTTTCTCATCACTTTCTTTTAACTCTTTTTTAGAGTTTTTAGAAGTGACTTTGAATTCAGAATTTATTTCAATTCTATTGACTTGAGAACACAACGATTGAAGAGCAATGTTATTATAATTGTTCTGAGTTTGAACATTTTTGATATCTTTAGCAACAATCTGGGTACTATCAAGTTGTTTTTTAGTTATCCTTTTGAGAGGAGAGGCAAGAATTTCAGTATTTTCATGAGAAACCATAATTTCTTGCATATGAGGATGAGATAATTGGACAGTATCGCCTTCCGGTGTTTTCCAAGTCTTTTTTGAAATATTAGTAGTAAGAATTTTTGATTTAGTGGGTTTTGACCAAAAACTTTGAAATGAGCCCACTAATAAAAACTTTAATCTTCTGGAAATTCATAAAATTCTTTCCAGTATAATTCTATTTCTTCTTTTGAAAAACTTTTACGAAGTAATCTTCTAAAATTTTTATTATTGGATCTTGATCAGTTTTGAATTTATTTCTTCTATTGATTCTAAAAGAAATAACATTACATTGATCATCAAGGGTTTCTGAAGGTGGTACCATATCAAATAAAGTTGGAGATCCTGATTGTTCAGAATTTTCATCTTTTTCTTTACTGCCATATTGGGGTTTTGGAACAGTTGGATTGAAATCAACATCAGTCAAAGAGGATGTTGAAAATCGAGAAGATTGAAAGGAATTTCTAGGTTTTCTTCGGATCTTGTAGAATAAAATCTTTCAATCCTAGAAGAAGATCCTTTAAAAATCATTTTGACATTACTATCAGGAAAAGTAATAATTTGACTAGAATTTGTTTGAATATGAGCAGGAATAAGATTTTAAACATTCTCAAAATTTTATTCTAGTCCCCTTGATTGAAGATTCCAATTTATTCTTTTGGGAATCATTGTATTTGAATGAAAAGGATTTGCTTCAACTAAAAGACACATCTTTTGGAGATGAACGAAGAGCTCCTATAATGAGTTGAGTATTCATGAGCTTGTAATATATTCTATATATTACAGCAAAAGCATTCGAGAAGTCTTTTATCTTTAAGAGTTAAGAGAATAGGAATGTCAAGACCAAATCGAAATAATGGCATTACAGCAATTTGAACTAATCCTATATGAAGATATTTAAATTTCTTCCTATGGTATTCAATAGATTCTTTAGATAATAAATTAATAGACGAATTTTGGCTTTTAATTGGGATTGTTTGTTCAAAAGTTTTGATAACATAATTTTGAGAAAAATCAAACTTTCCTATTTCATAGATAGAGTTTTTCTCCATCTTTGGAATAGTCCAGTTTTGAAGTCGTTGCTCAATTTGTGCTATTCGAAGTTAATGTTGATTAAACTCATTTGATGCAGATGTAGATGTTTGATTTACTTCTTCTTCATTTTGAAAAACACTTGGAGTATTTAGATTATTTTCAGATCTATTACTGGATCTCCTAAACCAATTTGAAATAGAATATATAATTAAATAAAATGAAATTACAATAATTTAACACTATAAAAATAGTGCAATAGAGTAGATTGACTCTTACCAAGCCTACAAATGAGACCACCTAAACACGCCCACTTCGGCTCAATAGGGGCTCGACCAACGCCTATTTAGCAGACATCCAGTGAAAATCAGGTTGTCCTATTGAACAGTGTCTATAATGGGAAATCATTATAACATCACCTCACTCTCTTATGGCTCTGATACCAAAATAGTCAAGTCAAGAACAGTTAGTTAGGTTTTATAGTGGTGTATGGACCGACCCTCAAAAGAACTATTCAACTATCAAAAACGAAATTTATCCATTGTATTGTGTATTTCAAAATTTCAAGATAATTTAATCAATAAAGAATTTATTTTAAAAACTGTTTCTAAAGCATGCAAAGAAGTTTTGCAAAAGGACGTTAAAAATCTTGTTTCAAAACAAATTATTACTAGATGGCAAGCTATTTTGTCATGTTTCGATTTCAAAATATTTTATATACAAGGGAAATAAAACTATCTTACGGACTTTCTTACAAGAGAGTTTATACAGTAAATGGAATTTTCCAAAGTTGAGAGAAAAAATAAAAAGAAGGCAAATATTCCACTTCTTTGAATTGATGATTATACTTCAAATTCTGATGGATCTTTCTCTTTTCAAAATACAATCCTTGTTTCAAAATTAAATCCTCATCCAAATCAAAGTGACCCCAATGAGCCAAAAACGACCAATTTCAAAAAAGCCGTTCAAACAGGATCTGGAAAATTTCCAGAAATTAACTCTCCAAAAGTTTTTCAATATTTTACAAAAAATGTTCAATATTCCGTCTTTGAAATGGAAAGTTCCTGAAATCAAAGATATTCACAGATATTTTTCCTCTAAATTTCTATTACCTTTCAAACAGCATAAAAAAGAGTCGTGAGTTTTATTAGACTATCCTTACAAAAACAAAATGAGCCATTATCGCTCATGCTCTAAACTCTCAAAATTCGAATTTTTCAAAAATTTCAATTCAAATGGTTTGGTCTTATGAAGACTGGGGGCAAAAAGCCTAAGAAGAAAAATGTATGAATTTGTCAAATGGTAAATTTGAACATTTCAATTATCTTGATTATAAGACTGTTTGGCTCATTGTATTTTATCTTCGACCAGTAACTATTACTGGTTTATATTGCTCCATCAATTTTGTAATCCTAATTTTTCAAAATGATTTCAAACTTGATTCATTTATTTTGGTCTTGGCAAGAATATTTTGCCTAATCTTACTCATCAAGTATATGAACACTTCAAAAAAGAGGCAAAAACCTTTTTACAGCCTCAAGAATATCTTTTGTTTCAATTTGCAATGAATCTCAAAGCATCTTGGATATTTTACTGGGATTTGATTGTTGCTCGAGCTGAACAAGAATATATTATCAAAAAGATCGTAAGAAGATTCAAAATAAAATGGTGGTTAAAATTTCATGAGACAAATTGTTGTCCCAAAGCAGTAAACTCATGGATTCAAGAACAAAGAAATTTAGGAATTCAGAAAATCTCAAAGAAAGATCAAGAAAAGTAAGTTGATTTTAGAAGATTAACTATAGTTTCGAAGAAGATTGCCAATCTTGCTGAAGTTTCTTTAAAAAAGATCAATCAGATTTGGATTCAAACTACTGACAACGGTGATAATTGCTATGGGATTGATATTGATAATCTCATAGCTCAAGAAGATAAAAAATGACTATATGGACCCAGCTACTTGGATGAATTATCTTCATACAGGGCCCAAAGATAAAAAGATATTCTTTTTAAAGTGTGTTTGCCACCTAATAAATTATTTTTACTAGCTTTATCAATATTTAAAAGATAAAGTTGGACTAATAATTTAAAATGTGGAAAAAAGTCAAAAGTTGTCATTTGATTTTCAAAAAGACGATTGCAAATTTCATAAAGATGAAGAAGACAAAAGAAGGTGCCAAATTTTCATAAAGTTGGCAAAGATTTTCAAAAAGAAAATAGTAAAAGCAATAATATTTTGCTTTATTCAAGATTCTTCCTCCAAATTGAAGACTAGAACTCAAAAGGTTCAAGTATAAAAGGAGATGAAGAGTTCAAGATCAAGCAGTGTATTTTTCCAGAGAGAGAAAAACAGTCATCAGGAAGTTTATAAACCTTGTATTTTACAGTTTTTAAACTTTCAAATTTGTAATTCAAAGTTTAATTTCAAAATTTTTATCTTGTAAGATTAATCTTCATATTTCAATAAAGATTATCTTTTCATTTCAACATTTTTTTATTTTCACTTCTACTCTATATTAAATCCTCATAATTTATGCCAAGTTACCTAATTCATATTTTAATCAAAGTAGAAATCAAGTTACTTTACATAATCTGAATACGGTAATCTCATAAACTCTTCCTTGCCTAACATGGCTAGTCCATGATCATTTCTTTACCAAAATTTGAAATCAAAAAGTGCACATTGGATCCTTCAATTATTGAAAGTGGTCAAATTAGTCCCTTAGCTTTCATCGATGAGTATGAAGTAGCTTTCAGGATATTATAAACCACTTCTATTTTTCCTTTTCTTTTTCTTGGGGTGGAGCCGTGGAGGGTTGATAGTAGGGGCTTGTTTGAGCCACATTATTTTTAAAAAAATACATTCTTCAATAGTGATTTAATATCATTTCAACCACATATTTTTCAATAAAATAATATTACACACAAATCTAAAACTTTTCCTTATTTTTTAACCACACATTTCCCATTGATTTGACATTAATAATGCATTTTTTACTAGAATGTGACTCAAACATGGACTAGATTGAAATGTTGGCAGGGAATAATTATCGTATTTGTGAAAACATCTTCATTTTTCCTCCTATATGCTATTTTTTGTTCCATTATTGGGTTGTCCTCTTCATTCACATGCTAAATGTCATCTTATCATTTCTTATGCTTGTGGATTTAACATCAGTACACATGATACTGCAATAGTGGCTGCTCCAGATGGCATGGTATATTTTGTTGAGATTAGTTCGGGACAAATCATTTCTTCTTTTTCATCGGGCCCATCTATTTATTCCTCATATCAGACACTCCCCAGCGATGAAGGCGAAAAACTTGATTCCTCTGCCGATGGTGATAATTTCTACATTGATTGTGGAAAAGACTGGGAACTCTACTTACATGCAAAAGGCTTCAATAAAGTGGTATGCCATCCGTAAAGCTTTCGTAGGTCTTATTTTATATGCTCTTAATCTAGTGTATGTTTCGTTGGATTGCATGATTTTCTGATAATGAGGACGAGCTGTTTCAGGCATCTTTTTCTCCAGATTCTAGTGTTCCTTCCGCTTTATCATAAAGTACCCTCTTCTTCCTCGTGGTTTCTTACATGACCCAAGTATTTTTCCATCGCAGAGGCTCAATCTGAGTGCTGAAGAATTTGTAAGGCGCACTCCATTTGTATCAACTGGTGGTGGTGTCATGTTAGGATCAAAGACAACTGCTGTATTTCTTGTTGATATCAAATCTGGAAAAGTAGTTCGTACATTTAAAGCCGATGATTTTCCCTCAGTTGTAAAGCACGATTTTGATGGATCTTCTATTCTAGCTAGAAAGGATATTGAAGGATGGGTAGGATCTGGTCCTGCAGACTTGAAGGATGTTGAGAAGCCACTCTATGTTACAAGGATAGACTATAATCTGAAGTATACCTCCAAGAAGACCGGGAAAGTTCTTTGGCATCTAAAGTTTGCTGATGTTGAAGCTTCTTTCCAATGTGAAGGAATTGAGAATTTTCTGGGTGGAATTTTACCTGAGGTTGACAAATTTGATCCAGGATATGAACTTGATGCAAATTTGGCAATGCGTTGCCTGACGAGGCCAGTGGTCTATCGCATCCGTGACCATAGCTCACTAGAATCCCTTTTTATGGTTGACAAGTTACCAGATGCTCTTCCAAGAGGCAAAGTACTCTCTTTACCTGCTGCTGATCACGATCCTCTGTTTGAGCCAGTGGATAAGTTTTTAGCTGCTCATCATGATAATGAGAGACAAATGTTGCTGGCTTTGCCCAAACCAGAAACTGAAAAAAT